TCTCTTTTGGATGAGTATAGAGGAGTAGTGGGTACAAAACATAAATACATGAAATCAGGTAACTTGCAATGAAGCATGGAATAACAAGAAAGGACTTACAAATGAAAGAGTTGGTCTAGGATAGGACTGCATCAACTTCTCTTTTATTATCAGAAAACTCAGTCTGAATCATTATAAACCAGTTCCCATAGTGAAAGTAGGCTAAAAACATAGGTGATTCAGGCCAGTAGTTTGTATAGAGGAGTAGTGGGTACAAAACATAAATACATGAAATCAGGTAACTTACAATGAAGCATGGAATAACAAGAAAGAATTTAGAAATGCAAGAGTTGGTCTAGGATAGGACTGCATCAACTTCTCCTTTATTATCAGAAAACTCAGTCTGAATCCTTATAAACCAGTTCCCATAGTGAAAGTAGGCTAAAAACATAGGTGATTCAGGCCAGTAGTTTTTAAAGAGAACATTTTTGGACTGAAGGCCAAAGTTCATTAACTTAACTCACAACGACATTCACATTTGAAAGATTTGGGACCTAGAAATTTGTCAGAGTCTAGCTTTTCTTAAAAACATAATTTTGTTGCTTTTGAGGTTTTGGAAATGAAGTTTAAGGGCTCAAGAATTAAAAGACAAATAAAAGGGTATGCTTTTATAAAGTCCACTATGTTTTCAACCTTAAATCTGGTCTCATGCTATTGTGGAATCTGCCGCAGTTTACTGGAAAGCATAGAGGTATGATAAATGTCCTTGAGTATTGTTTGAGAGCCTGATTCTATCTGACCAAAAAACATAATACAAAGCCACTAATTTCTAAGAGCCTCGATTATTATTTTTAGGTGTCAAGTAATTGGTCAAAGCTGCCACATTTTCAAATTATTTTTTAATTATTTTTCTTTCTAATGAATCAAACAGATGGAACAATTTCAGCCATATCCTGTTTGGAGGGGCTGAGAATTGCCTACATTGGTAATACATTTGTTTTGTGTATCTGTGGGAGCCAAAGATTACTGTCCTCTCATTTACATGATCAGGTGGGACAATATCTTTTGAATAATCCAAGCTATAGAGTAAGAAGTACTTCTGCAGCAGCTTAAATGAGGATGTTGTCAAATTAGCCTCCAAAGCATCAATTTAGTCCTGAGAAAAGCTCCAAATTAAGACTTCTTTTGTAAGGAGATTTGTATGGTTAGGTCTGCTTATGTAATGATGATATGCTAATCTAATGTAATCTGGTAAAGCCTATACAGTTCTTGTATTTAAACTATAGGCCAGACAGCAGGACCTTTCTTGAAATTAGAGCAGCAGTGAGCATGAGAGCTTACCTTAGTATTTTCAAAGGAGAAACCATTTATGACATAAGTAGAAATAAGGCCATAAACTGGTAAATTTTGCTGTGCTCTCCCATAGAAATAAAATTAATGTGTTATGGCAGGTGTCATGCTTTTAAGTGTATGCCCAGTTCTCTGCAGAACTACAAGGGCTCTGTGTACAGCAGCGGGAGGACCTGTTGAATGTGAAGCCTGACTAAGTCATGAGACAACATATTTACAATCTGTAGATCTATAGGCTGTCATCTTCATTCCAGGGAAATCACTCACCAGAAAAATGGGGGTTTTCTGTCAGTGGAGAGGTGGGATTCCTCCCTCCAGAGATCTTATGCTAGTTTTGCTGCCTGTTGTGTCAAGTTTTCAAGACTTTTGTAACTGCCTGTAATCGCCTGGCTAGTAGTTCTAGAATCAGGTTTTAATATCCCAGCTTGATTGTCTGCTTCTTTTTACATATGACTTTAGGAACGTGTCAAGTGTTATATCAGTGGTTTAGCACTGTTTCTGACAATGATCAGTGCAGGATGTTTTGTGGACACTAAAAACTGCCCAAGATGAGTTTATTATCCTAAAGCATGGTGTCTCAGAGCACTGAGAACCCTGAGTCCAAACTACTAGCATTACAGATATTTTTCTTATGCTTCTAGGATATGTCTCTAAACCGCTTTTTTCAAATGATATTAAGCTTTTTGCTTTCGTCATATTCCAAACAGAAAACTAAACAAGTAGATTAGCGTGTACTTTCTAAGTTTCTTTTGTCTGATGAATTTGACTAAACAAAATCCCAGAGCTTTTTTGTTTAGGGGCTTGATAGGTATGTGATACAAATGACTGATGAAACTTTTCTGTAGTAAATGTGTTATGTACTCATTGCTAAGTTGTAGTTTATAGCTTTGGGTTTTTGTTTTTGTTTTTTTTTTGTTGGTTGTCTTTTTTGGGGTTGTTTGTTTGTGTGATTGCTTTTCTTTTTAGTTTAGTTTTGGTTTGTTTGTTTTGGTTTTTTTTCCCCAGGAATAGCAAGTTCAGTTTTAACATATCTTTCTTGGGGTGTAACTAATCCCCTGGTATTAGTAATTGATGCTCTTTTCCAGAGTAGTTTGTTGGGTTTTTTTTGCTTTTTATTACTTACAAAATGTGCTGAACAAGACTAAATGCAAGATACACAAGGATTCTGAAATAACATAATTCTGTCTTCTCTGCAGTTTAAGATTAATCTCTCCTGAATGGTGCAAGAGGCAGAGCAAAAGGCAGGAGTCTACACTTTTTTTGAAATCCAGGAGGTAAAAACTTTTTTAAACTCCATTTTTGGCTGAGTTTTCAACAGTTCTTTGCAGCATGTTTCTTTATACTTTAGTTTTAAATTTCATCTGTTATTATGCTGTCGAGTTACTTTTGTGCTGTTATCTAGATACTCTCCTGGATTCTTCCTGTGTCCTAATAAATGCATTAATAATCTCTTTTTAAGAAGCAAAAGTCTAATTGTTTCTGAGATGCGTAAAGTTGGAATAGAAAGTGAGTATCTTCTCCTAATGGAAAGTAAGCTCTCTGACTCCTGCCACATCATTTTCCTTATATCCTCTTGGAGCCCTTTGTATCACTGAGCCCTTTGTACTCTGAATACTTGCACAGAAAATAGTGCACTGCTGGGGCACTGTGTCCTGACTGGCCTCCAGAAGATCTCACACATGAATAAAGTAATCAGGAATTTATGTTTCTGCCAGGATTATTTGCTAGTATGTCTTCCTTTAAAGGGAAGGCCAGTAGATAATGACTAGCTGGCAGCATGGTTCTGTTTCAGCTGTATATTCAGTGTATGATCCTGGCAGTCTCCTGAACTCAGGTGATTTGCTTGACGACAGAGGGGAATATATCTGATCTCTTAATGTGACAGCTTAGAAGACTTCAATGAAAAAACTCTCAGTGAAAAATACAATGGCATTTTGCTCCCTCTTCCTGCCCTTTCTGGGAAACAACTGAATAATCCCTCGTTTAATTAAGCAGTTAAAAAACCCCCTGTGAATGCCCATGTGCTGTTTCTGCTTCTCTAATCCTCACTTGGCTGCAGCTCCTTAAGATATTTATTGAACCAATATTAGCTATGTTCCTGAATTCTGGGTAGCAGCAATATTAATCTGTTAGCACAGAAAATTTAAGTTTATTCTTTGCATTCTTCTTGCAAAGCCAGTTACTAATCCATGAGATAGCTTTCCACTATAGTTTCCGTTGCTGCTTTCTTATCTTCAAAAGGCTTTAAAATTATTTAAGATGTTTAAATCTATTCCATTAGGGGACTTTTTTGTTTGGTTGGGTTTTGTTCACACTTTTGAGGAATCCTAAACAGCTCAGTAAGCACAACACAGCAGCGGAGCTGTTCTGTCCCTGCCTCTTGCTCTTAACTATTTTTATAACCAGCAAGTTAATGCCTTCTATTAATCCTTAGCTGCTATATTGACCACTTGCAGCCATCTAGGGCTAACTTCTAATAACAGATTACATGTTTTCTGCAGTTTACCTGCTTCAATCTAAAGCTCTTCAAGGCCCTGCAGGAAATGCTAAGTCCCACTCTTCCTTTACCAGTCTTCACTGCAGTTTAAGTACAGTCTCTGTGGCCTTTCCTGTTCTTTTAAACATTTCTGTCTTAGACAATGGGTGAAAAAGGAGAGAGAAGAGTCTGAAATGCAAGCCACGGTAGGTCTGATATAGGAATGTAGGCTTGGAGAGGCCATGGGTAACCTCAGAGCATCGAGGCTTTGGGAATACACTGTGCACAGACAAAGAGACTCCACAGCTCACGAGCCTCGTGTTTGTCCCTCTGCGTGTGTGGTAGTGCTGATGTTACTGGAATTTGACTCCCTGCAGAGTAGAAGAGGGTCCTTTTGACCTGAAAGCTTGGTGCCTTCGAGGGCTTGCAAAGGGCCTTTTTGGGTCACCAACTATAATTCCCAGCTGTTGCTGACAACCGTGCCATAGCAACTTCCATGAACTGTCCAGGTCCATTCTAAAGCAGCCTGTGTTCTGATCCTCTCATCTATTGAAGAGCTAATCACCTCTAAAGTTACAAGTGATAGGACAAGAGGAAAAGACCTCAGGTTGCACCAGAAGAGGTTTAGATTGGATATTGGGAAAAATTTCTACACTGAAAGGGTTGTCAAACACTGGAACAGGCTGCTTAGGGAGGTGGTGGAATCTCCATCCCTGGAGGTATTTAAAAGATGGGAAGACAAGGTGCTTAGTGTATGGTTTAGTGACAGTTTTGTCAGTATTAGGTTGATGGTTGGACTCGATGATCTTAAGGGTCGCTTCTAACCTAGACAATCCTATGACTCTGTGATTCTAATCCTGAGCCTCCCTTCTGTGACCGTTAAAAATCATCTTATGATGGCCAGCTTGAGTTTATTCCCTATCAGAGTGTAACACTCATTTGTGAATCCATTTGGCCTTTAATGAACCAGCTCTTTCACTACCCAGTGTTTATCCCACTAATGTGTTTCTCGAGAAGTCATGTTTTCACATGTAGACAAATACAAGCTCTTCTAGTCTTCTCTTCTGAAATAGGCTGCACATGTCCTGGGCTGCCTTTGCTGGTCTTCTCTTTACTGTTTGAATTTATTGAGGAAGGGAAAGACAGTTTGTATTAAGGTACTTTTTATTTGTTACTCTATTTTTAAAGGAATGTGTCAGTTAAAGAAATAAAAAGCATTGAAACCGTAGAATTTGTGTCTCATTCCCTTGGTATTGTTATCTCTGAGGTCTTTTGTCTCTCCTCTTATGGTATGAAAACGTTTTTGTGCTGCTGTCTTAGAGAAGGAACACTGCAGCTCCAGCAGGTCTGTCTGGCACCGAGGAACCTCACAGCTAGGGATCCATTCAGGCAGTGCTGTCTCTCTTGTCCCATCCTCTGGTCTACATACAGACCAACATGTTTCTTGGTGCTGAACCTTGTGCAACAACATTCTGCTTTCCTCAATCTTTGCATCCAGTGGTAAGCCCGGCTGCTGGCCGAGACTGGCAGCAGTATTTACTTGACTCAGCATTGTGTCCGAGTAGTTGGCTACAACAGTAGGAACTCTGCCTGAAGGCAGAGACATCTGAACACAGGAGGAGTGCTCTTCTTGCAGGATTGATTGACGGGGACGTCGACCTTGAAGTAAGCGTGCAGTGCGCCCTTCCAGAGGTCTCACTTGTGAGAGACTAGGCAGAAAGGTTTCTTTCTGTATGGAGGAAGGAGGAGGATTTACACTGTTATCTGAGTCTCTTACTTTAGCAGGGCCTGCTTATTTTAGCAGACCATTGTCTGAGACTAGTAAAGTGGCTCAGTTAGGGGTCTCCCAGGCAAAGGGAAGCAGCCCAGACATTCGTTACTGCCTTGCCACTTAGGGAGCTTGGAGTTGGTCTTTATGCTTTGGAAAAGAAAATATTCTGCTCCACCCCGATGCGTAAGATATAAATGGGTATAGATGAACTCTCTTCTCCTTTCTTCTATAAGCATCTGTCTTCCATTTGTGGTCTCATAAGCAATATGATAGTGTAAACGGTGGCTTGCGTTAGTGAGTTTTTAAATTCTTTTAGGAACTGTTGCAAGTGGGACTGAGGATGCTCACCGGCACGTGGCTTTTTAGCGCTCTCACCCCCCGCTTGAATCCTATTGCCCTGTAATAATTTATACTCTTGAGGCTTCAGGTACTGGTGCAGGGTCAAAGCTGCATTGTATAGGGACTGTTTAAACATAAACTACATTTGAGTCCTATAGCCAAAGAATGGACTTCAGCTTACTGTGCTGAACAATCTGAGTGTTCGATTTTTGATGTATATATGTTTTAAATGGAATAATGTTGTTCAGATAAATCAGCATGGCCCAGGGTACACAATCACATTTTGGAAGCTAGAGGGCAACAAAATGGCTCAGTTTTGAATTAATGTAAGCTGCCAGTTTGGCTTTCCATTTCCAGAGACCAGCTGTTGAAACTGTTCTTTAAGGTGTTAATCATCATAAAGTGAGACATTGTTTCTTCATCACACTAGAGAAAAAGCTAAACAGCTTTTTCATTTCAGATACAAGCATTCAATTATCAGAAAATTGTAAATGCTATTTCAAAAGGGATTTCCTTACTTGGATTTTTTTTAATCCAGTATTAAAAACGCCGAACAATTTGGGGACTTTTTATCCAGGGCCATTTTTGGACTATAAGAAAATGACAACATCTTACTTATTTACGCTGCTTTTTGTATGTCTGTGCAGTTTGAACCCATAAGTGGGTTCAAAGCCATCAGGGTTGTGGAAGGTGAGCAGGAATCCATTCCTTCTGTTTTACCTGCAGAGCTGCTTAGTCAGTTAGAATAAATTAGAGGTGTGTATGTATTCTGCATGACAATGTGCAGGTGTCACTGAATGGCTTAAACCATTACAGGTTTTGCATTGCTAATTGCAATTGCTAATGCAACAATGCATTAGCAAAAAGCAGCTCAACTTGATTTGCTATGCTTATATACCGCGTTATGCTTTGTTTGCATGAGTAGCATTTAATACAAATAGTATCTTTTCCCTTTTGTACAGAGTATAAAAATTGTTGAAGACAATAAACATGGAGTTTTTCAATATAGTTTTATACATTTGTTAAAGTAAATATTTGCATTAAAATAGAATCTGATAATGTTACTTATACACTCTTAAGGAAGAAAGGCAAAGCACTCACACAAATGGAGAAGGATGAATCATAGAAACCCTGCCAGACTTAAACTGGTATAGTCAGTAAGGAGGCAATAGCCTGCAATGGTAATGGGTCACTTATCAAATAATACAATGTGCAATAAAGACAGTAAGTTAATGAGTTCGGTGGAGTTGCCCTGACTAACATGAGCTGAATATCTAGCCAATGTTTAGGTCTCTACAGGGCTGCACCGTTCACATGAGAGCTGCCAACTCACTTTATGGAGACTGTTACTCATACTTCTCAAGGCAAAAGGTCGTTTGATTTGCTGTCATGTGTTGGTGGCAACTTTAAATGATAAGATAAAAAATAAGCAGATAATCACAATAACTTTCCCCTCTGCAAACCCTGAACAAGTGATTAATCCATTACAGAAGTTCTGTCAGCCAGTTGTGTGAGGACTGATTTAGTACACTGAACTTTTGCCCCTGTGTTAGAGCGAGCCTTGCTCTGTCCTTAAGTATTATCAAAGCTTAATTCAGCTAGCTGAATCTGGTAATCTCTTGCCAGTATTACTTGTGGTGGAAGCATGAAATTCTTAGTAAATGCAATACTTACTAGTTCCAGATCTTCACCTAGTTCTCCAGTTAATCTGCCAATGGTTTTCAGGTAATGGTTATCCAGGATAAGGGGATTCATAGGACCTCTTCCTTAATGGAGACAGATTTTATTGTCACATATTTTTATTGCTTAGGAAAATCAGAATTAATGCACAGTCCCCCTGAAAAACCTCAGATAATTTGCAGTTTATGTGGCCTTTGCTACTAATGACACAAAAAAAATTGTTTTCTTTAAGAAATTTAGGGGCTAACACTTTGTGGTCTTTCATTGCTATCCCAACCAAATTAATTTAATAAAAGGTGCTTACCTGTGAACTCCCGATTATATGTTGTGATCCCCAGAGTCCTTTCCGTGTTCCGTAGCATATTGGTTGTTCTTCGAGAGAGACTATGTTCTAGCCCTTCAAAAGTGGAGTTAGGGGCCACTGTTTTTGGTGGATTCGGATAGTATATTTGACCCTTTTCTTCAGCAATCTTAGGAAGCTGAAGGATAAGAAGAAATAGGTAAGGTATAAGCCATGTGTGTGCTGGATGGAAAAGACTATTTTAAAGCTTTGAAATGTGTCACGTTGCCCCCCCCCAATTATATCTTTAATAAATGTTAATAATATAGAAATGTGGTGGAAAAAATGTCTTCAGTACTGTATTACTACTCAAGTAGAAGATACAACAGCTGAACTAAATTCAGCTGAACTCAATTCAAATAACTTCGAATCAAGTTCTCCATGGTAGTCACACCTAAGCAGACTGGATGGAAAAGACTATTTTAAAGCTTTGAAATGTGTCACGTTGCCCCCCCCCAATTATATCTTTAATAAATGCTAATAAAATAGAAATGTGGTGGAAAAATGTCTTCAGTACGGCATTACTACTCAAGTAGAAGACACAACAGCTGAACTAAATTCAGCTGAACTCAATTCAAATAACTTCGAATCAAGTTCTCCATGGTAGTCACACCTAAGCAGAACATTACCTGTTATATAAGCTTTCTTTTTAGCTACGATCATAGGCTGCCTTAAAATGGACTGGTGCTTATTGTTTCCCTTGCCACATGCCTAAGACCGTGTGTCTGCAAAGGATGTATCTTTCTTTGTTCACTGCTATTTTTTCCTACACTATTCATGACTTTTATCTGTCATCAAACTTCGGGCTACATCCCTTTGGAAAGAGAACTAATGTTTAGCCAAGCTGAAGAAGAGGAGAAACATGATGATTCATGAACAAATTCACTGTTTTATGGACCAGCCCAATATTCATCATTACACTGGGGAAGGCAAGATTGATGTCAAAGACTGTCCACAAAGAGGACATGTATTTTCTTGAAGACATGGAAATAGCAACACCAGCCTGTCAGTGTGTTGGCAGGACTTGCAGAGAGGTTAAGGAGGACCAAAGATCTACTGCTGCCCAAACTCATTTCTTTGAAGGGCTGCAGAGTGTAATCTGGGCTTCTGAATGAAGCCTCCCTTTCTGCTCCCCAAAATATATGGTCACAGCTATTTTTGCTTCTTCTTGTTCTTCTTATCTGCAGAGCTACTTGACTAGGTCCTGTGAGAGCTAGTTACTACTTAAAGGACTTCAGTCACAGGACAGGCTGCTAGCTTCTCAACTTGTTTATATATTGCTAAGGTGGCTGAAAACTGTCTCTAAAGCTTTTCACTCTTTGTATGCGTGATGCCTAATTCATGGCCTGCAAGTGTTTGGAACAGGAGCTCTCTATGTAAAAATGTCTCCTGTGAAAGAGATGCAGAGAAGTTTAACTAAAACAAAACAAAAAAAAAGGCATCTTGCTCTTTTCCATCTGAACTACGTACTTGGAAGTATGTGTGCTGTCCTGGCCAGTGCACAGCCTTCTTCTGGGAGTCAGAGGGTATACTGACAACTTCATGCCTATACGGATTACCTATAGGGGAAATATTTAACATGTTCTAATGGAACATCATTGATCAGAATGACAGATGGATTAGCAATTTAAGCTGTAGATGTACGCTCACTATAAAGTCAGCTGTGCTGGTGGAAGAGGTTCTTTCTGTGAGCTGTTGCTTGAGAGACTGACCTCATGGATCTGCAGACAGAACTCATCTTCACTCTTTTGGCAGACAATCAGCAGGGTTAGATCAGATCATTCATTAAACCGGCATAAGTTAACCCAGCTGTCTTTTTGGAAGCACTCAATGTGATTATCTGCACCACCAGACTTGCAAGGCTAGTTGTCTCAGGCAGAGAGGTGATGACAAGGAGTTGAGGGCTGGATCTTACACCAGATAAAGCTGTCTCTGCAGAAGTCCACCTGCCCATGGCCAATTGCAGGAGCTCTGGATTCATTCACACACCAGCAGGAAAGATTCTTACTGCATTTTCTGTGCATGATTTTTACAAACAGCAACAACAAACAGTAAAGCTTGGTGAATTGTGGAGCTGGCTCTGTACTCATAGTGTCACCGTCAGAGAAATAACTGAGTGCTACTAGATGTCTTTTAAAAATGAAACTGCAGTGCATGCTTGGAGGAGCTTGATTTCCAACCCTGATTCTATCACTGCTTTTTCTCTCCAGCATCAGTTTCCTTATTTACCTCACAATGATGCTGTAACATTTACTACATAATAGCTACTCTGAGTTTTGCAATGGTGAGATGTATAAAGGGCATAAAGCCTTTAAATAAAATCTTCCAGTGGTAAAAGTCACCAGAATGTGGTCTGGGTTATCTGTACTTAACCAGAGATTTCTCCTTCAGTCACTGGAAAATGGAGTGTCTGGTCTCTGAGGAAGTCAAACCATATGGAGGGAACAGCAAATGAAGTTCAAGTACTTTCTAAGTGCCAGTTGTAGCTGCTCCCTTAGCTACTAATTCTGAACCTGCTAAGCTTTGCTGGAAATAGGTCTTGGCCTCTGATGGACCTCCTCTTGTGCAAAAATAGGCTTTGTAAGCCCACCTCCACAAATGATTAGCGTTTCTTAAATTGACCAATGATCAATGAAAACTGATTAAAAATGACTACTCCTAGCATTACATATTATTTGGAAAGATTTTTGGTTTGGATGGACAAATACTCCACTAAAAATGGCTCATGTACCCAATTATATACATAACTGTACAGCACTGTGCCGATGACTGAGAATGGCAGCTAATTAATGCAAATTGACCTCCTATGTAACATTATCAGCTTTTACTTGCTGAAAAGCTTCTTATCCTTGCCAGTGTATGCTTTTTCTGTTTCACACAGTTATTGCCAAACCCTTCCTAGCAAGCACTGCCATGGTACACAGACGTGCTGGCTTTTAATGTCCCAAATTCCACATAAACCCGTGTAGTCAGCAGCTGCCAAGGACTCTTCATCAGTTCATGCAGGTGATCTTTAAAGTCTTCCAAAACAAAGTACCTGTCAAAATCCCAATGTAGTAGAGTGCCTCCAGGAAAAAAGCAGAAAAAGAACAAAAATTTCATGCCCTTTCCCTCCAATATATTATGTAAGCCACTCTCAGGGTAAAATGCTGCTGGGGTTAAAACCAAACACCTCATGATAACTTAGATGGTGTTCCTTAAATAATGATTCTCTAGGGCTTCATCTCAGTCTTCGTAAGGGATACAAAGAGTTGTTTTTTCTCCCTGGATGTTGTTCTATCATCTGTGTAAGTCATTCAGCTCCCATTTCAGGGGTCCCTCTGTTGTTCTCAGCAAAGCTACGGCAGGCATTACTTTGGCCCCCAAATTGCTAGTTTTTGATCTCACTGATGTCTTTTTTTTCCCTCTCTTCCACTCTATTGGACTGTTAAGAATTATTTGTCTGACAGAAGATATCAGATACACTAAATGATCCATCTTGCTTTTGTGGGGATTAGCAGCTATGTTAATAGCTCTGTTGGCTTCTGAGGCTACAGGGTGTTCATGTGAGTTGACTTTATTCATAATTCTTATTGCTGAAGTATCCTCCATGGAGACTGCAACTATCAGCACATGGAGCTCTAATTTAAGCCCAAATGCTTAGCTTGACCACTGATATATTCAGATTCTGGCTCTGTTAAGCTCCAGTAGAAAAGAGTGTGACTTCAGTAGTGTTTCTAAGTAAGTTTCAAGAATAAATAATAAACCAGCAGAGTACTGTATTACCTCTGGTCTTTCCCAGAACAACCACATCAAAAGGCTTGGTGGGGATATTGGGATGAAAAGGCTGATGACTGCTTGCATCAGTCCCAGTGTCTCGATCCTCAGGTGATCTGAAGTTTGGGAACATGGCGTACCTAGAGATGTGTGTCTGGTAGGGATGACAGATGGGGAATGGCAGGCACAGTGGTCTTGGGTTGGTTTGAGTTGGCAGGAAGAAGGACGGAAGGGAGAAAATGTCATTATTTTGCATTTCAAAGAGTTTTAGCATTAAATATAACACTTTGCAAGAACTGGGAGAGATGCGAGAATCAGAAAGGACGTATCTTAGTTCTCTAATTCCCTCTTGCTTGCACCTTGCAAATAATTCATGGTGATGATTCCCTTGCACCTTTTGTACATAGTCAGTCATACCAATTCACATTTACTTTTATGTGACTTAATGGAAGGAAAATGTGGACTTCTGATTTTTGCACAGCTGCGATTAATAGTAACTGAGTTTGTGCTCGTGAAATCAAAATTTGCCTCTAAGAGGACATTTATTTCTGGGGGGAAGGAGGATAAAGCTAAACTGGAGAGTTTTACTGAGAACTGGGATTTCATGGAGTGGCCATGTTCCTGGGGCTGTTCTTTTTGGCTTTCAGTTTTTGATCATAGAATTAAAAAACTTATTGAAATCAGAGGACTCCTGAAATCTGAGGAAAATGAAAGCAGTGATTTACTCCAGTAAGAGAGACTAGCATCCTGTTTGGATTCTACTAAACTTTACCACAGCTGCATACAGTGGCTTACTGAGAGCAAACACCTTTCCCCAATTGCTTTATAGAGCAAAGTCACAACCTTAAACAGGAGCCAGATTCATTGCATTCCTGAGGCTGTGCATCATGACATAACAAGATGTCTTACCAGGCTGGGCTGTTCTGAGGCTTCTCTCTCATAAATCTGCTTTGTACATACTTTAGATCCCTTAGTTGTGCTTGGTAGATGCTCCAAAACACTTTCATTCACATTAGGTAAAGAAGCCCTGAACAACACAGCTGAGAAAACCCAATTAGCCAATAGGCAAGTTGGCAAGATGAGCATTTCTTAGGAGTGTGGGTGTGCTGGGCAAACACTGGTAACCTGATCAACCTATCACTACATGCTTCATTTGAGACAGAGTTTTTTGCCTATTTGAGTTGCCCCTACTTATTACTGAGGAGCCTGCACTGTGCAATTATGACTTTTTATTTCATTAAGGAAAGATAAGATATAATATAGGAGAAACGTACTTACTTAGCCAAACTGTTTGATGGTTTATGAAGCCTGTATTAGGGAAGAAAAATAATAAATAAGTTACCTGAAGTCACCCATGTTCATTTGCACCTCTCACATTTTATCTACATCAGTGCAATCAATATACATTAAGGACAAGTCAATATGTAAGCAGCGCAGACAATATTCTTACTGATACCACTCATTCCATGAGGAATGTTTTGTGTTGCCAGGTGCCAAAGGCTGAAAAGGCAGTGGTATTAAAAGATGTGCAGAATGTCTTTTTAAAAGAAGTGAAAGAAAGATCTATCCTCTTACACTTTTGTGTGATAAGCTCTGTATTAATTAACAATGGTATGTGCTATTAGTAAAAATAAATCATTTTATCAGTAATGCAAAATAGAAAACATATCCCATTCCTACTTGCAGAGAAAATACTTATTCATTCCATGGTGATCAATTATTTATTTTACCATGGAGACTTATTTTATTCTTCAAATAAATTTTAAAAAACATAATCAAAAGAAAGCACTAGGTTTAAAGGGCAAAAATTTCATCACTGAGGCGAGCTAGGAGTCTCTTGGCAACTATATCAAGTCAGAAAAATGTCAAAGATTAAAAAATTAATTAATTTGCTTAATGGCTCTTTGTGGTATAATAAAAAAAAAATGAAAAAATGGCTGAAAGACAGTATTACTGGACTAATCTAAGTGGTTCACCTGGAGCTCTAAAATCTCACGTATTTCATGAGGAAGCCTTAATTACCAGGTCTTGCTTAAAAGGGTCTTTACCGTATATGGGTAGGAAAAGGCTGTCTGTTGACAGTCTTTTTTTAAGCTTTATTGTTTTTACCATGATCACACAAAGTTTCTTGTTTTTACAAGCCATATACCAAAATCTTCATATTGCCAAAACCCCTCATTTTTTCAGTGAGGAGAGGGATGTCCCAGATTCATTCCCATACAGGAGATGATAGTGGTAACTTCTCAGGGCTGCTCCTATTGCTCAGTTTGAGGACAGAGCCATGTGGGATGTTAGTGGGTCCCCCGTGGATGTCATCCTTTCAGCCTTAGCAGTTCCTCTGGGAACACCTTGCCTCCTGCCACTGGGGGTTCCTCATTAGCCTGGTTAATGAACCAGTTGTGGCACGGGAGCTGCACTCAGGCTCTTTAAAGTCACCTGGGATTCAAGAGCTGCAACTTGGCCACTCCATCATTGAATTAGTCTCCGTAAAAATAGATGTTGCACAGTTACAAAGAGGAAGGATGCCCTCTTGCTCAAAGAATAAGTCCTGTGCTTATTTCTTTCCATACTGGCATGAGTGTGGAGATAAACTTCACGTGCCAGATCAATTTTGCCCACACATTCTAATACAAGATGCAGAAGTCATACATTTCATTGTGAAATCTGTGCTGTGATGCCATGGGACTCAGTGCATTCAACATGAGGTGTGATATCTCACAAATTACAGTGCTGGCATAACTCATACCTCAGCTGAGTTGAACAAACCCCCTGCTTTTAATGTATGATGCTACAAAGATAACAGGAATTGATCAAAGTGTTGGGTTCTGACAACTGTTTGTATATTGTTACATTTATAATGACCTGGGACTCTGATTCAAACTTTGTGTTTGTCTTGAAAACAAAAGCTTTTACAGAAATAAACATACTTAAAGAACACCAGTCTTTAAAAGTTTGTTCCACAGATAGTTCTAGTTGATTTTTCCATTTCTACAGTTAGAACTGGTGCTGTATGTCTACTGGTGCTGTAGACATGAAGGAAAGTACTTCTTAATGTTTCTTTTCGTTTCACATTGTGTTGTGAATGTAAGATATAATTGTAAGATATAATACAGTACTATTGTAGCACAATGTGAATGGAAAAGAAACACTAAGAAATATTCTAAGTTTCCATTTCCATTGTATTGCATTGTCTTACAATGTGGATTGTTACATTCTTCATTGCATTCATTGGACATATTCCTGATACAAATATGCAAAAATAAGGACAATCAGTATGCTTTGTGCTCTGGTATGGCAGAACTACTTAAGTATCTTTGTAGACCACTTTTCATTATAATACCTAAACTTAAGGATGCAACAAAATAAGGTTGAACATGCTTTTTCGTGTTTTAGAAAAGCTTTGTGATCTCAGGTTGTAACAGCCAGCAAAGCTTTGCATTTTCAAAGATGTTTAGAGTGTTCCTTATATTTTTGAAACTCAAGATGAGTAAGCCTGAAGCACCCAGAATGTATAGAAAAGGAGAGCTCTGGCTAGAAAGGAAGAAAGGAATAGCAGCTTTTCCAAATTTGGCACTGAGCTTTCACTGGAGTTCTTGCTGGAGTCTGCCAGTATCACACAAGAAGCAGTTGCTATTATTATTTTATCTGCCCCTTTAATGTTCAGTCCACAGAGGATATGGAGTCGATCAGTTTCTTGAAAAGAAGTCAGTTTTAAGCTGGAGGGACTGATGCTCCCAGTTTGGAAAGCCCCAGAACAAATCCAGGCAGTGGTTCAGATGGACACTATCCCATTTCCCGAGCAATGAGTGTACTGTAGGCACTCAGCAAACACTTCTTGTTAAAAATAGTTTCATGTGAGAGAAAGAATCCTCATGGAAAAACTGGCTTTTCCTGCAGTAGTTCTGAGCTCCCCTCCTGATGTGGTGCCAACTACGGGGTGCAGGGACACACTTGTTCAGTAATGGTAATAAAAGACACCTTGGAACCTGTGTGACCTTCATGAGGAGCTCCCGCTTCCCACTATTTTTCTGCTCTCTGACACATGGTTGTAGCCCCTGAAGAGCTGTCTCTTCTCCCAAGTGTGGCCTGAGAGTGATGCAGTGTGGGGAGCCTCATGACCTTCAGCTTCTTTTCTGTATCAGGCCAGAGAACTTTTTGCTGCTCTTTCCTGTTAATTTCCCATGTAGTCAGTAAATTATTAAGAGAATAAGATGTATCACTCTTGCCAGTTTTAGCAGGAAGGAATTATGACTGAAGAATACAATGTTTCACATGTGTAAATTGACTTTCCCTGCTGCCCTTTGTTCTTTCAAAGGGATGCAATCACTTATTTGCCTAACCTTAAAATCTGCTTGGTCAAGGAGCTACAGGTCAGGGAACCACCAGGGGTCGGGGAGCTGGTGGACAGCCAGAGGAATGGGAGCACTGTGTGGCATGATAAACAGTGAAAGCAGATTAAACCCCACGTGGAAAAAAAAGCCAGTTTTCATTCATTCTGTGCTGTCACTGAACCTGCCAAAAACCTTATTGGTGTGACCTGTCTTTGGAAGCAGAGCTGGAAATGCTGTAGCCTGAGGTAGAGCATGCATGTGTGTAACTAGGGTTCTCTGCAATGGCTGAAGGGTGTTTTTCAAGGCCTTTCAGATTTTGCAGTCTTGTTTGATGTGAACTTGAGGACTCATTACACATTTAGATGGGTGGAGGTGACTATTTTTCTCCAATACATTTGACTGGGAGGGCATATGTGTGTGGCCCATTGCTAATGCACTTACAGAAGCACATCTGCACAAACCCAGTGATTCATTCTAGTGCAGAACTGCACAAGGAGACGTAGTGTGCATACTTAAGGCAAAGGCATAGTTGTCCCATGAAAGTGTACAGAGTTATTGCAAATGGCTGGTAATTCATTTCCCACAAAAGACAGTAATGGCTCAAAGGAGCCCTCACAGGCTATAAGGTAAATAAACTGAGTGTTAATAGCTCCCAGGTAGACCTGCAGAGCACCACTTGGAGGGCATTTTTCACGAAAGGTTCCATTTGGCTGTCACCGCTTAATAGTCCCTGACAGCAGGAAGAGTATTTGCTCTGAAAGACCTTGGACTATAAACGTGAAAGTTGGTGTGTGTGTGTCTTTCACTTTTTGTTTTGAAGGATATATTATTTCCTTCAATTTAAAAGTCTTTCAAAGACGGAGAAAATACAACCTTATAGGAAAACAAAATGCTCAAACTAGGACAAAGCGTAGACCATAAAATATTTTGAGAGGCCTGGAATGTTTCAGGTGAAGATGTGAGTGCAAAATAATGGAGAAATAGATTAATGTCCTGTTGATCAAATACTCAGCGTCCAAGGTTGTGTACTTTTCAGTATGTGCGGGGGCAGAGTTTGATCTGCTCCTGTGACAAACCTCCTTCCTCCTTATACAGCTAGTATAAAGGCATAGAGTCACAGCAGTCCTGGTTGCTTCCTCTTAAGGAAGCAAATCCCCAGAAAGGCGTTTTGAGCTCTACTTCAGTCTGTGTACATGGATGATCCAGTCTGGTGAGCAACTGGCATGAGGAACACTCTTGCTGTGAAGTGAATGGGTCCCAGAACGTCCTTAACCAAGAAACAGTTGAGGTTGGCCAGCCTAGGAATTACTGAAAACACAGCAGGTCTCCTAACCCATGTGAAGCGCAGTTTTTAATTTTACTTTACAATTTGCCCACGTTTCTGCTGTTTCAGGGACACCAATATAAATGTCACATAACAGGACACGTATTTGACTAGCAAGTCACAGTGGGCCAAATTATTGCCCAGCATCATTCTGCTGCAGTCAATGGAGTTTTCTTGAAGATGGGTTAGGTAATAAAACAGAACCACCCAGCTTGACTGTGTGACATGAGAGTGTCACTTTGCAGTGACGTTGGTTTTAAAACAACTTTAAAAGTGATCCATTATCTTACAAAAGTGTGCGGGCCAGTTCTTGTCACTTGGTGCTTAGGAAACTTAGAGAAGAAACTTGCAGGGAAACTTGCTACTTCTTTGTAGCTTGTAATCAAATTCTGCAGAAGCAGCACAGCAGCACAGCCAATGCCTCTAATGTACATTAATTTTGGCTTGTGCACTCTTGTAGGTAACCTCACTCACTTCTGCTTGTGCTGCGTGCTCGAATGAGATAAAAAAGAGAGAAGCCTGCAAAAAGCAGTGGATTGCAAAGAGCAGAGTTGCAGGTTTCCTTGTGTAGCTTTGGTGGCCTGTTTACAATTAGCTGTCCTGCTTTTCTAGAGTGGCTGGGTTTACACAGAATAGGGAGCAGGTGCTTCACGTGCAGGGAGGCTAAAGGAGAGTGGTGGGGTTGAACAGTGTGCCTCACAGCCCTATAAAGATAACTGAGAAATCATCACAGAATTATTCTCAGGTTTCTAATATGCTCTAGTAATCAAAGCTAATATGAGAGGTGTAACGTGTTCATTTTCTGCTTTTGAAGAATTTACATTTATGCTTTAAAGTACCTTAATCTAAAATCTCTGTAGTTTGATCAAGTTTAAGTGTTTTGCTGTTGCCATCAAGTGGGAAAATGTTAGATTGCAGAACTCCAGCAGCATCCAAATTCACTGAGTCTGATATCTCTTGAACAGCAGCAGTGAGAAAAATAATGCTTGCCAAGCCTCTTCCAAAAATATACCTACATATATATATATCCACACCAGAAAAACAGACTAAAATCCACAATTACATGTTTCAGTTACTACAGTTTAATCTGGATTCTAACTAGTAGAAAGGCTAATATTTTTGAGTATTACGAATCGATAAAAAATGGACAACCTGTAAAGCAAATTCAGAGACCCTTGTTGAGGGGGTACAATGCCATATTCTGAACTTTCTTCCCAACTATGTTTGCTCTCCTTTGTTACTAGCAAATCCCTTTTTACAGAACACAGCCCTTCAGATTTCATATCATATCTGCACTTCATATGTGCATACTGTCACCGGCTTGGAATGAATATTCAGTTTGCTGTTATAGTCACTGAATTCACAATCTGGTTAATGCACAGTTTAAACTTACAGTTCATCATTGATTGTATCACTTTTTTTCAGCTGGGTGACATCATGGTACTGCTTGGGGGGAAGGCCTCTGTGCAAAGAGAAAGCATAGATCCAGACAGTTTATGCTCTATTTGCTTATAAAAATCCAAATCAGTTGATACGTTTTTGTTTTGATTTCTCAGATAAGCCGTAATATGAAAACTTTTAGATGCTGCTCTTAGTCATATTGTGTAATTTTAGGTAGTCCTACGAGGAGCAGAGAGTTGGACTCAATGATCCTTATAGGTCTGTGATCACTTTACAGAGAGGCTAGTTCATGATAATGCAGAGCAGAGCAAGGACAGGAAGGCCACTTTCCAGTCTCTGAGTCATGTTTTAACCCTTGGACAGCCATGCAGAAGCCTACTCTACATCTTCCATTCCTGTTATCCAGGGAAGCCTGCAGGGCTGAAGGCTGTCCTTGAACTTCTATGACATCATCTTTTGCTTTTCTTTAGTTTTGACTTATGACATCATGATGAACAAGAAATTTTGGAACTGATTTCAGTGGAAATAGCACCAACCCCAATATATTCTAAAGAATAAATTTGTTGAGGTAAGAGGCTAGAAGAAGGAGCCCTGACTTAGAAAGCATATGCCAGAACTCTTCCCCTCAGCTGTTGTCTAGACACATCTCTTCTGAAAAAACTAAGCACTGACTTTTCATGTTGATGCCTATGGGATTTCTGGATGCTGAGCATCAGTGTAAGTTAAGGCCAGTAGTAACATTTTTAAGGTCAGGAAGGGTGTTTGGGACAACAGCCAACAGTAAATAATTATCAAATGATGGGAAAAAATAAATATGGTCATTTGGAACTTTAAGTGTTTCAGTGAAACCACTTTTCAGAGGTTTGTGGGTACTGATATATTTCCACATTAATATTTAGGGCAACATGAAAAGGGTAGAAGCTTAAATTGCCCACTTTTGGAATGCAGGTGTTTGCATGTCTGTCTACATTGCTGTCTAACCTGTTAGCTGTATGTTCCTATTGTTAAAAACCCGTCACTTAAATCTGTATTTTGATTGTGAGAAGTATTCCTGTAGCCTACCTTGGCCAAGGGTCTACACCACTACCATAACGTTGGTATCTTCTAATAAATGTACATGGAGACTTGTCCTTTGCCCTGTGGTCTTCTGGCAATACAGGTAGTGCAACTGCTCCATGCTCCTTTTCTACTTCCCAGGGAAGCTTGCAGCTGTGAAAGGATTCCCTGAATTCTTTATATCTGAAAAAAAAAAACCAAACCAAAACCAAATTCTCCTTTAACAGCAGCAACAGTGATGGTTACTTGAAATCTTTTAAACACTATTAGCTTTATTTTCTTGGTTCTGAGTAACTCAGTCTTATTCTGGGTAATGCTATTATGGTGAGCTGGCACTAGAAGAAGTAACAACAACAGTGGCTGGCAATTGCTTAATGAAGGTTAAATCAAGTCTATTATGTTTTGGTCAGTGAGAGTGAGAAAGAAGCTGACAGATGAGTGCAGCGCGTACATCTCACAGGGTAATGGAGTCTCAGCTGCCAGCACATAGATACCTGCCCTGTCCCTTCAGTACTGTGTAGGTGGCATATGGATAGCAAATATATGCAATGGCACAGATGGAAGTTTTAGGATCTAATTCCCACTGATTTCAGATTTTCTATTTGTGGCTTTGAAAACCTCCCCCCTCCATCTCTAGAAGAGGTGAGAAATTTTACTCTTTGGTAGCTGTAATTCACACTGAATGCAAGCTATGTCAGGCACTTCACATGGACGTGCTAATAGCTGAGGATGTTCAGTACATTTCTATACATCTCTGTCATGTGAAATCGAGCAGTTCACTGTGCTTTAAATACATGTTTATCTCCTATAGTTTTGGTTTACAGTGTTGTAAAGATGGACACCAAACTCACTGAAAATGTAAAGCTTCCTTTTCTTTTGGGTGGCAGCAGTTTTCCAGTCAGGAGAACACATGCACAGCCAATGGTCTTCTTATTAAGGAGATAAGTTCTGCAAGGAGCGGAAGTTGGACTCGATGATCCTTATGGGTCCCTTCCAACCTGAGATATTCTATGATTCTATGATCTCATCAGAGCCAAAGTGATTTAAATTTGACTTAGTTGTCCAGGATTTTCTGAAAACCTTATCAAGGAAGTAATGAACTGTTGTGGTTTGCGATGGGGGTGGTCACCCTTGAGATATTTCACTGGTGTGCTGTCCATTTATATGAAACCAGAGAGAGTAATGTTTAGGTGAGTGGGTTGGAAACCAACAGCCATCTCTGTGTTTGTTGTTAGACCTTCCATCATCAAGTGGCCCCGATTCTTGCTTTAACTGGACCTCATCTGTATTACCATCTTTTTCTGATATTGGGTGTTTGTTTACTGATGAGTGAAGCAGATGGACATGGCTGCAGCCCAGTAGGAGTGCCCTTGCTGACTGTGGTATAGCCTCTGCTGTCACAGCACAGGCTGTGGTGGATCATGCAGATATGATAACTTGCTCCCACTATCTTGGGTTTCTCTGCCTTGTGCTCCATAGTGTGGTGTTGCTCTAGGTTTCTGGATGTGTGATTCCGGATGGAGCAATGGGTATCAGCTAAAGAAATCCCTGTTAAAACAGAGATGTTATTAATCTTTGCTAGTATTGATCATTGTTTTGGAGATGGAGGCAGAGGGTGTTTTTTATGAAGCTATACCGGGAAAAAGTGCCCCTCTGCAGGCACTAGCAAGATTCAGGTTTATGCTGTATTTCAAGTGTAAGGTTCCCCTAATTCTGACTTTGTCTTACATTGCTTCAAAGGTAGAATAACAACCCTGACCCTGTATCTCCTTAAATTTGAGGGGAAATAAGCTTGCTATTATGTGCCTATGAACATTTCCATGAGCATTACAATCCTGACATTATGAGCATAGGCTTTTAAGGAAGAAAAAAGAATGGCTATAAAAAGCTTTTCTAGAGTACATTCAAACTCAGACTGTGGCAGAGTCCAAGATACCTAAACAGATCTTAGGGAAATCTATGGGAGAGATCATGATCTACAAGACAGACAGTGTTGCTGTGTTCTGTTTTGTTCTCTCTGTTTTTTTGGCAGTGCAGTGCCCTCCTATCACATAGTCCTTTTTATGTGGTTCAACACCACTCTGCTGCTGCCTGATGCTGTTTCCTTTATCCATTTTGCGATATGTTTGTACTGTACGATGAATCAAAATAAGAATCTGATGTTCCGTAGATTATCAGAAAGCTTTTCTGGTTTTAAGTTTCTGAAGGAGCTCAGTCATCCATTTCTTACATTCTGTCCAAAGCCTTGTTTCCCCTTTCTGAAAGCAGGCAGGTCGACAGCAAGTCACCTGCGTGGCTGTGGTGTTTGTATTCATTAAGCTGGCTCTCACTGGAAACATTAATAAATAATTCCTGTTCACTGCTATCAATAGGCTACTAAATTGCAGAATAACCACTTTATCTTAGACAGAAAAGAGAAGCATTGCACACAAAGGTCTGATCATCCATTTAGCCCAAACAGGACTTCGTTAAGCTTAAAATGTTTCCAAGTCTCCATCTCACAAAGAAACATTTAGAGGTGATAATACTGATCCAGTGATATTGAAGACCTCAAGGACACAGTAAAAATGGCTCTGTCCAGAGAATATCAAATGAGGACTGGGGTGAACAAAAGTTTGTTTTAAAAGTGTATCATGAACAATCCTTGAGTCTCAGCAATATAGTCAGTGATTTAATAGAGACTATCACTGTTTCTAACTTCCACAATTGTAGATTTATTCCAAGTTCTGACAACCAACTTCCAGCTTTCTGTCTCTTTTGTTCTGACAAAAAAAAAAAAAAAAAAAAGATCTAACATTCTGGAATCAGAACATTAATTCACTAGTGCCTGTTTTGCTTTTAATAAATTACAGTTTTCCATTCAAATTTGTTTCGTTGTGGGGAGTGTATGAATACAGTGTCTTAGATCTTGAGCTTATAAAGGGCTCCAGTAATTGATTTGATCAGTTCTTGATGCCAACACAACTGATGAGGTATGTTGCCAATAGCTTCCAGAAGGTCTGTGGAAAGAGAGTTTTTAGAGGGACGGGATTAGGACCTGCCTCTGTGTGAGTTCACATGGGGCATATTCACTCTGGCATTTTAATTTGGATGAGGAGTGCACTTTTGACCTAAGTCTCCTGATGGTTTCTATTTTGCAGTGCCTTGGTCTTTTAGTACATGTACTGGGTTCCTTCTGGATGAAATTAACTGGAATATGTGCTCCCAGAATGCACTAAAATTTACATTCACTAAAATTTAGATCAGGCGTATAATTCAGTAAAAATTCAAGTCTCTCAATAGTAAAAACAGTTCAGATAGAAATTCACCCAAATTCCTGTAATGCAAGGAATAAAACAAAAACTTGCCTCAGGGATGATATGTAAGTGGGAGGCATCAAGACACAGTTTGACAAGTGTGATAATCCAATAGTATCAAAATACTCTGACTGGAATTCAGATGTTGGATATGAGACATTACAAATAATGGAAGAAGTTAGAACTAGTAGTAAATCAGAAGGCTGTCAGTAAGATGGAAACTCAGAATTGGTGTTGCTAGCAAAAGAGATAAAATCTCACATAAGAGAACACTGAACTCTGGAATCTGTTATGTATGTAAAAAATAGAAATTTTGACAAAAAAAATAAGTGTCATGAATACTGAGCAGCATGGAGGTTCAGCTTTCCAGAATTTGAAAAACTGCAGGAATTCTGCTGTATCCTGCCCCCTGACGAACAGTACAATTGGACCTGTAAATTATAGCAAAAATGCCTTAATTCCTGAAACTTCCTGATTACACGGATGGTTACGAAAGCAAAACGTAGACTTCCTGTCATTTTAATTTTAAAGTTTATCTCAGTAATTCTAAGTGAGCCTGTAATCTAGGGAAAAAAAATGTTCAAAACAGGAGTGGATCAAAGAATAACATAATAAATGTTAGTGATTGGTTTGCAAAATATGCTAATTTTTTTTCAAATTAGAAATACAATATAGATGTTGCTTTTATTCTTTATGAAGTTATTTAAAGAGATTTTGAGCCCTAGAGCCACAGTATTAGCAGTTCTCAGTTGTAATCCTCATATTTCCCAGGGAACTGACAGACTATTGCATAAAGTAGAAAACATTTTGTTTCATTAAAACAAAAAGAAAAAAAAATGTGTCTTGATGGAAAAACATAACCATTAGAAAATACTTTACCAAAAGTAAATGGATATCAAATACTTTTAATGGAATCATTTCCCTTTTTGAGTTCTGTTCTTACCTGTCTTGTGAGACAGTTGGACGAGAAGGAATTTGAAGTGGAGTTAGTATCTCATTGGACTCAAAGGTTCTTGATAGGATGCAAGGTCCCTCAATTTGTCTATAGGAGCAGGGCAGGTCATGCAGCAGCATCATGCTTCATATTTGAGCCTCTAGGGGAAGATTCAGGGATAAAATAGCAAATATCAAAGGTTTTGTCAGTGCATCCAGTTGCCAAGGATGAATTCTGGGAAGTGTCAACAGGAAACAATGGTTGCTTTTACTACTGCTACTGCTTATTTGTACCAGATTACAAAATAGAACAAAAGATTTGATGAGGAAAAGCTTCTAGTGGAGGAAGGCAGAAAGGTACAGGATAACAATACATTTATGTCCTGAGGAATGATACCTAAGTAAAACTTAATCTCTAAATGTAACAACCTTTCAAATATTGTGTTTACGAGTCCCCAAAGAGATATTATTCCAAAGCAGGAGACCTCTCCTCCCAAGCTTTATTGTCTGTCTGTCTTCAGAAGACACAGGAAACTGTGTAGAGCAGATCTGTGAACTAAGCTTACCTTCTTCAGTGCAGTGTGCTGTGAGTGTGCTTTGGCTGGTGTTCTGCTAGTGCTTGACATCACAGTGAGAGGGTGTTGGGTTCTTTTGGGGTGATACACAGGATGAGGCAGCTGGTGATGTCAGAAGATGGTTACCTAGTGCCTGAGGGGGGACGATGTTCAAACACAGTTGGGAGCTAGGATCCAAGACGCAAGTAGATGATGGGGTGTTTTACCTTTCCCAAACAAAGCAGTAAATTCAGCTGTGAGCGAAGCCAAAAGCTAGTTCATTACAGAAAATTTGATTGGGAATAATTGAGTGAAGTCGTTTGGGTGTCAGTTCAATTTGTGATAGATTGGCTGAGCTGAGAAGATTTCAAATAAAGCAGGCAGCACAGCAGCAGGACTTCTGTGAATTGCCACTTCTTATTCTCATTCTCAGAGATATCAATATTCTTTGCTTAGGTCTTGTGTGGGATTTTCACACCGTCCTTCAAAACAGTTGGACCTGGCCACTGGTGGAGCTTGGAATAGGGTTAGTTGGCGTGCTAGATGTTTCTGCCTTCCTGTGTTTGACAGACATGGTGATAGATTTTGATCTGTTTTACTCTCTTCTGCTGACCTTTTCTTTTCTCTCAATGTGGTTTTTGTTTGAGTTGAATTAGCGTCAAAATAAATGGATGCGTTTGAAAAGAGTGGTTTTGTTCTGTTGTTTCTTTCACCAGACGGGGTAAAATTAGCTGGATGTTCTACTTTTCTTGGAAAAGCAATGTGAAAAAAAAGCAAGTCTTTTGGCAAGTGATAATACATGAATAGCTTTTCTGAATACCTATTAAATGCACTGTCATGTTATTATTTTCCAGTGGAGCTGGTAATTGGTTTATTTTGATTTTGGATCACTGGTTTGTTTTTAACATGGATGGCTTGGCCATCACATTAAAGTGAAGTACACTTTGATGTCTGTGCCATGTACAAGTGATATAGCTGTATTAATAGTTCCCAGAGTTCAGAAGTTTAATATATTCTGAAAAAAAAAATACTTTCAATTTTTTTTTTTCATGCTTCATCTTAGTCTAGAGCTGAATGTATGGAAAGGCTCAGCAAAACCTTTTCCTTCATTTCATTAATTATTCAGCTGTTGAAAAACACTGTTATTTCCTTCCAAAAAAACAGTATGGAAGATTTAGAGTTGTAATTTTAAGATACTATGGGAATGACCTGCCTTAGTTGTTATTATAGAGGGTGTACTGAGTGGATGGAAAAGGCTTAGTACATCACTTTCTACCCTCTAAATCTTCACACAGAAAAGGTCACCCCACGTATAAATCTATTATACATAAGTTGGATAGATCTCTGTCACATTATCTCCAGGTTAGTGAGTTTCTTTAGGAAACAAACTGGGAGGACTAAGGCCCCTGATACCTGACTGTATAGCTCATTCACCAGGCTCCAGTGGCTATTCTGTGCTGATGTGACAAAGTGGTCAGAGAAAGATAGATATCACGAAATCATGGAATCACAGGGTGGCTGAGGTTGTAAGGGACCTCTGGAGGTCATCTGGTCCAACCCCTGCTCAGGCCTGGCCACCTAAAGCAGTCTGCCTAGGACCATGTTTCCAAGGAGGGAGACTTCACAGCCCCTCTGGGTGACCCGTGCCAGTGCTCAGTCACCCTCACACTCAAAACCATTTATTTATGTTCAGGCAGACCCTCCAGTGTTTCAGTTGGTGCCCATTGCCTCTGGTTCTGTCACTGGGCACCACTGAAAATAGCCTGGCTCTGTAGTCTTGGTACCCTCCATTTCGCCAGCTCAGCTAAATAGGGAGAAAAGTAATTTCTCTAATCCAAATTTTCCCCCTAATTGTAGTGGAGAAAGTAGAGGGATGTGAGTGTTTTCATGAAGGTTTCAGTTGGTGCCCATTGCCTCTGGTTCTGTCACTGGGCACCACTGAAAATAGCCTGTCTCTGTAGTCTTGGCACCCTCCATTTCACCAGCTCAGCTAAATAGGGAGAAAAGTAATTTCTCTAATCCAATTTTTTCCCCTAATTGTAGTGGAGAAAGTAAAGGGATGTGAGTGTTTTCGTGAAGAGGACTGAGATGTCATTCAGAGAACTGTTGTGAGAACTACATGGCATTTGGATCCAAAAAGAGCCAAAGCAAACTGTTTATTGAAGTGAAAAATGATACATATTCTTGCCCTTAAGCTGGTGCTAAAAGGAAAAAGTTAGAAAGCATTGATACACAGCTTAATACACACTTCAGGAAATGATCTTTTCAGGCTTTACGTCAAATGCTATTGTGATTATTTATTTTTTTTAGTTTAGTTGTTCTAGGAATAGTTATTTATAAATGGGAAGATGAATATGACCTGACTTTGTTAATGTTGAAAGTACATGCGATACTTTTTTAAAGCTAACTATGTAGTTCGCATTTTCCTCACTCCTCCAGCAGCCTGTTAGGGGAGTTTTCAGCCCAGGCTCTGTAGGGGAATACATGATTTTTCTCAAAATCAGGCTTTACAAGGAATGTTCTTTCTGCCCTCTCGTGGCCACAGGCCAGTTTTGCAGCGACGGGAATTTCAAAGCATTGCATTTCGATAATCCCAAATGTCTTGCTTTTGCTTTAGAGAACCAACGTAAAATTTTAGATCCCCGAGTGAGTTTTTCTGTATACAATTTACTTATGTGTATCTTCCATTTGAGTACAGCATTTGACTATTTAGATTGTCAAGTTAATTACATACAATTTTCTTACTTATACCTCGTAACCCAGAATATGAGGGTGTGGCTTGCATGTTAGAAGAAACACGTAAGAATAATTTCTTTTCTAGCCACTAAGGTAATTTTACCTCAAGATCTGTGCCTCACTTTTGACCTGTTCACATGAAAACTGTTGCATAATTGCATGTGGCAGCTTCTTCACACCTTCAGTGATTATTTAACTTATAAATAAGTTAAATTGCAATGAGTTTCCATGTCGTGTCAAGAAATCAATAAATAAATTGACTCCAGTGGAGTTACTTTAGATTTATCCCAGGCTGAGGGCAGGATCAGACCACAATGCCAATTTCTATTTTACAAAGTTGCTGTACGGTTTAAAGGTTACCATGTACGCCTTGTCTGAATAATGCTATCAAATACAGGCTTATAGAGAGTTGAAAAGTTTCAGTTAAGGCCCAAGTGAGCTGCTACTGCTGCAATTTATCACTTTTTCTGACAATCAAGTGCCCAGAGACAGGACAGGTACACATGCAGGCACAGTGGCATCTCTAGGGCTTCTTAGCTGGTGGGGAACCCAACAAGGCATTTTGTAGCAGACGTTGCAGAGCATATAATGATAATAGTGATTTAAGAGAACAGTTTTATACAAAACAAGAATAGATTATTCAGTCAAGATAATACTAATGAGATGAGAATATTTTGCTGTTATACGTTGTTAAATGTCAGGGGGAAGCCATTAGTTTATACATTACCTGCAGATTTTCTCCTGTGTACCCCTTTTCCCAGCCAGCTCAAGGTACCATATCCTTATCTCTGTGATTTCTGGGGTAACTAGGAAAATCACTGCTGCACAGGTACAGCTGTGTGCCAGTGCCAAACTGTGCACCGTCTGCCCTTAGCCCAAGAGGGAAATAAGACCCAGAAAGAATTTATCACAAGTTATAAATTTGAGGTGGGGGTAGGCTCTGCAATCCTCTGCTCCTGGGGATTCATAAATTCATATGCAGTATAAATATGTGCAAGAATACATTTGTTAGGAAATGTCTTGAAATATGGATCTTTGAGAAGCATACAATGGTGGCTGAGCCAGCACGGGAAGAGGGGAGGTACCTTTAGAAGGTACTTCTGAAGACTGTCTGCTCTTTTCCCCTCCCCTGCTCTTTCTGCACAAGACTGACACTTCTAGTTCAAAAGCAATCCAGAATCACCTGTGTTCACACTTCCTTATTTCAAGATTTCATAAGCCATGTGATCCCAACTGTAAGTAACCTGGTGTACCTTCACTGATATTTAATTTCTTCACAGGCATCTGAATTAAACTTCTGACTTTTCTTTCATAGCTGCCAAACAAAATCAGCTGCTGAATTAGGCTGTACCGTTTCATTTAAAATGCCTCCTGAGGGAGAGGCAAACTTGCTGCTCCCAGAATTGATGAGCCTAAGGGCAAAGTAGGTCCTTAGTCAAAGAGGTAAGTACACTCAAAAACAAGCTCAGCACCCAACATATGCTTTTATTTTTTTCTTGAACCTCTCTCTTCAACAGCAGGGTTCAAAGAAAGTTTGTTTCCATTCTTTTACAAATAAATTTCTCCATATTGGTCATATAATATAGTTAATTCTAAACAGTTTTATTACCCCAAGATGTAGATGTATTTTATGTACCCACAGAGTTGAGCAGCTAAGAGAAGCAGCTGATTTTAAAAAGTTCATCTCTGTTCTCCTTCACTAATTCATGCAAATGGGCAAGCCAAGCCCTGCTGAGAGCGAACAGCACATGGAGCTCATCAGACCTTACTGGCTCTGTTTAGCATTTCCACAAATTGTAAATCTACTTGTTTTCAACTGAAAAATTTACTATAAACTCCTCATGTAACTAAGAT